TATTAAAATCAAAGCTAAATGTAGCAAAACAATAGTTAAAAGCTGCACTGAGCAACAACATAACTAGAAGCTATAGTTAGCAGGACAGTAGCTGAAAGCTAAAAGAAGTCAAATACGAGCATATTTGCTTAAATAGTTTAAAGTAATTGAAGAAATCTCAGTGAAGGTTTATGAAATGACTGTAAATATAGTTAAATATGTCAAAAATCAAACATTAAGTCGTTAAAAACACGTTACAACGACTCAAGCCAAACATTTTGATGTTTAAATGGAGAAAATGTAAAACTTAACACCTAAACTTTTCTTTCCCGGGTTAGAAAGTTGTACTGGTTCAACGTAAACACTAAAAAATCCCTGAATGTTGTGAGCTTCTAACTAAGTGCTGAAGTTTAAAACCGTCAGAGAGCTTAGTTTTCTTTGATTTACCGGGAGGACATCACTCCGTTCCCTTACTGTCCTGCAGACATTTTTGTTGCAGAGGCAGAAGAAGCCTCGAAGGTTTCTTCCAACATTTCTGTTTGTCTGAAACCGTTTTCAGAAGCGCTCCATCGGCTTATTAATGTTAATGTTTGCTACGTGCCGTCCACACAGAGCAAGTCCTTTCCTGAAACAAGCCGTTGATGTTGATCCGTTCTGACCTGGTTTCCTGGCCGACTGCGCCCTCAAAATTCAGATTATTAATCTGTCAGATTTGGGTTGATTAGGAGGGAGGAGCCTCAGGTTGGTGGGCGACAGCAGAATGAGACATTCGCTCAAACGAAGCGTCACATATTCTTCATGCAGCGTCACAGGCGGACGTCAGAGCAGCAGGAATCAGCCGAGACTGACGTGAGTCTTTGCAGGGAGTTGTGACCTCAGATTCTTCAGTCGTTGGCGTCTTTTTCGACTTTGATAGGAAAGTTATTTCAAAACTAAAACCGTTAACAGACTTTGGGCCGAGGCTGGAGCTGCTGATGGATACCTCGCGCAGAAACAGGTGGACTAACCTGCGCCGCTTCGCCATCGATGAGCGCGGTCCACTCGTCTTCTCGGTTCTTCTCAGGTGGAGGTGATTTAACACGGTGACCTGTTTCCCCGCTCTATGGGCGGGATCGTCAACACAAAGTGGGCGGGATCGTCAACACAAAGTGGGCGGGATCTTCAACACAAAGTGGGCGGGATCTTCAACACAAAGTGGGCGGGATCGTCAACACAAAGTAAGCGGGATCTTCAACACAAAGTGGGCGGGATCGTCAACACAAAGTGGGCGGGATCGTCAACACAAAGTGGGCGGGATCATAACTGGTCACTGTGTTCGAGCTACTCCATCAATTGCGGTCCTTAATCTTCCTATAATCGGACTTCTCTTTCTTTAGTTTATCCCGGCACTGCTTATAAGTCCAGGTGTAGCCATGCTGTACCTTCATCTTTTATATCTCTTTGTTGGAGTTGCATTCGGGCCCAAAAAATCCGATCCGACCCGGCCCCAGCACGTAGCCATAATTTCCGAACCCCACCGACCCTACGAATTAACAGTAATTACAGGTCCGAACCCGAAAAAACCCCAACATTTTTAATTAAGCTTTGACTGCTTATAGTTATTAACGGTCAGTGGATGTGCGGACCGCAGTAAAGTTAGTTTTACGTTGGACGTTCAAACTCCGTGGCTTCAGCGGTGTGTTCCTCTCGTTTGATCCGATGCAGGCAGTCTGATTACGTTCGAGTTCAGCTGAACGAATTCAGACTGCCTGCATCGTTTAAGTAAAACTACTTAAACTAAAAACCAAAGAAAATGTTCTTTGATTCTGCTAACAGCACCTGGAGCCCCTGCTGGGCCGACTCGCCGAGGCCCAGACTGGACGGGTTCGTTCCACCAATCAGACGACACCTGGACCGCCTTTCCTCAGGACTCGTCGGGTCCGGGTCGAGACGTTGTGGAGCAGTGGTGGCCCACCAGCGCCGCGGAGGCGACGACGGAGCAGCTTCCGACCGATCACAGCCCGGTACGGTTCTGTTGAAGTGGTTTCATTTCAAATGTGTTCTCCAGAAACTGATGCGAGGCGGATTTTATCTGAGAGTTTCCTCTAGTTTTATTTTGATTTGTCTTCTCTGAGTTAACTTCAGTGCTGGTTCTGCTACAAATATTAATAATATTAATAAATCGGGGTCATTCACGAGGAAGAAGGGTCTGAAAGAGAAAAGTTAATGTTTTAGAAGTGACTGACTGATTGTCTTTGATTTTCTCTGATAAAAGAGGAAAACACAAATATTGTTTTTTATTTACATTTGTTTTTTCTTTAAAAAAATCCAGTGCCTGTTTACAAAATGTTATAAACTAAAGAAATAACAGTTTCCATAAAACTGCTGAAATAATTTAACATAACAAAATGCTAGCTAAAAGTCTAAAAGTAGCAAAATACTCCTCTAAAGCGTAAAGTAGCTAAACACTACTGAAAGCCTAAAAGTAGC